AAGCACCAAAGATCTGGTACAAGGTCCTCCTTAGCTTTTCACAGGACTTGGTTTCGTCCGATGCAATAAGGAGTACTGCATCTATGTCCAAAATGTGGGAGAGCAATGGATCATTGTGGTGGTCTTTGTGGATGACCTTACAATTATGTCTCGTGACATGGGACTGATCAATCAGTTGAAGGCAAGCTCTATCCGGAAGATTTAAGATTAAAAACCCGGGTGACATCCATTATATAGTGAAGATAGAAGTCCATCGGAATAGGGAAAGAAAGACGATGACAATCTCCCGGCCCGCAATAGCCTGGAACTTTTGAAAACGTTTAATATGGAAGCGTGTGTACCGGTGTCAACACCACAGATGAGAGGCGTGGATCTGGTAGCTGAGATGGAGATGTCAGCTCAAAAAATCGCAGCTCAAAGTTTGATTGTCGGGGGCTTGTGGGGTAACTGCAGTAACGAGGAACCAGACCAGATATTACAAACACAGTCAGAGAACTGAGCAAGTTTCTGTCGTGCTACAATGAAACACACTGACACGCAGCTAGGAGAGTGCTGAAATACTTGAAAGGTACGTCAACGTACGGTCTAGTTCTTGATGAAACTTAAAAAACGGTGACGTATGAAGTCTACACAGACGCAAGCTTCGCTTCTCAACCCAAAAAAAACGTAAATCACTTACAAGGTATGTATTCTCCATGGCAAGCAGCAGTGTATCATTATGTAGCATGAAGCTAGGCTCATGTATTATTTCTATTGCAGAGACAGAACTCATCGCGCTTAGAGGAGGAGCAAAGGAAAGCGAGTTGCTTTGGTCTCCGTTAAGGGAGATGGGGCTTCCGCAGGAAAAGGCAGTGCAATTATCGTATGACCGTAAAGCGGCCATAAGTACAGTAAATAATCCTGGGAATCACAGAGCTACGAAACATATCGAAGTTCGATACTTGTTTACAAGAGACCTCGTAGAAGCGAAGAGGCTCGAGATTCAGTACTCCTCGACCAGTGACACGGCAGCAGACATTCTGACAAGAGCTCTACCAGCTCATTAAGCTGAGAGAACTGATTGGGGTCAAAGACCTGAAGACTACGGACGACACTTAGTGGGAGTGTTGAGCCCGGCACTAGAGCCAGCACCAGATATACACGGGGTGGCTAGGAAGAGAATAATGGCTTGGAAGGCTCGAGCGACGAGAAAGAGTAAGAATCTAAAATTGACAGCCGCATTTGTGCTAACGTAAGACCGTGCAAGCAAAATTAATGTGGTGCGATTCGTGCGATTGCATTGGTTGCAGCTTGCCATTACTTGCATCGTGGTTTTTCTCTTGATAAAAAGTGCATCACTGATTTCGGGTCGATTTGGACTTAGGAGTGGAATCGTCCGTTTTCCGATTCACATGCTGTAGGATACATCGTGTTCATGTTGCATAGGGTAACATCTATGGAAAGCCGGTGAACAGGAATGCCGTGTTTTTCAGAAAGGGTACTCGTAATTAGATGAAATCTTACAAATTTCAAGTATAAACCGACTTTAACACGCTGTATTTGACACCATGAATATGTTTTGTAAAGTACGAAAATCAGTTAGGCAGTCCGTTATTAGTATTCAGAACAGCCTGGATAGAGTGACATTTTGAAACGAAAAGATGCTAGCGAACCTAAGTACGAATCGCGATTTCAGCACACCATTGTAAAGATAAGCGTTTTTTTCTTGCCGTTGATGCTTTCAGATCCTTCAGCAGTTGCCAACAGGTTGAGGAGCGTCTGTCAGAAAACGTATCTACCTCAAAATCGACTTTCTCGCAGTTTTTTCTTTGTTTCTAGGGGTCTTTATTCTACGTGGAATCGGTTGAGACTATTCCCATACTCTAATTTGGTCTCCTACATCGTCAAATTTTAGTGTGTGTTCTACTCTTCAAAACGACAGGGGGGGTGCTTCGTTTTGTTTTACATTTTAGAGAACAGAACGGTAGAATCATATCGATTAGCTGCCAGCATTATGACTACCTCAACTCTCACATGGATTTCCTCGCACACTGAAGATGTGGTTTCGCTGGCTTAACTTGAGTTTCACTCCTACCAGCGAACCGAAAGCTGTCGGATTTTGGTCTCGGCTCCACCCATACGGTTTATAGCGCAACGTTCTTCACCTCCAAAGCACCTAGCACATTCCTTTTATCCTGAGCATCTGTCTTTCTTCGAGGTCGTTCGGCCATTAGGAGAGCCATCCAAAGCACTCTTTTTTTATCGAACACGAAAAATAGGATGACTAGCGCCACATACGCAGAAAGGGTCACCAAAAGAAAGAGTAGTACACCACACCAAAAATAGGTGTCGTTTCGCAAAAACTTTTCTCTCTTCAAATAGATATCGCTAGCCACTACTATTAAAATAGTTAAGAGCTTAGCTTCACAACATCGAAGTAATTTAAAAATTAACAGCATTGTACGTGGAGCATCGATACAATGGTGAATGATCACGGTGGCCGTACAGGACGTCTGTCGTGGCATGAAGTGTGGAAATATGGTGATCCTGTCCCTTTTGATGACTTTCTGGCAGGATTGTCGAGCTTTTCACGGCCTACAAGTGAGCTACACCATTGTACAATTGATCATGTTGAGCGCTACGAAGATGAGCTGGCTGTAACATGGCATGAAATGCGGTATATCGTAACTAAATGAAAATCACAACGCTGCAAAGCTACAACAGAAATATGCACTTGTCGCTATAAGATCTTGGAGTGTCAAGAAAGTGACGGAAAAATTATATTCGAGCAAGGGGATCAAACGATGGCCGTCGATGCTCCACCGTCCTTTATTGCATCTGAGCTGACCGCCGAGATGAAGTCCTATCTAGATGTCAAGCTATGTGACTCTCCGTCTATGGTAGCGCAGGCACTGTACGCATTCTTGTGTCGTGAGATTAAGGTTAAGGATGGGCGTATTGGTGGACCTCCCCCGCAGCTTGCACAGGTCCAAAACTATCAAAAGGATGGTGGCGAAAAAACCGACCGGATAGTATGGACCCCGTGCTGGAGATTTGCCGTCAGCGCATGTACGACAGCGAACGCTTGCATTATTGGCAAACAGACCCAGACGCATTGCTAATGTTGTGCGACACAAACGTTGTGGACGGCATTGTGGAGCCTGCGCTCGGCACGGGGTCTCAAGGCAACCCATTTCGCATTGGTTTGACATGCAAGCGGCTTTTAGAGCGTTATGTTGAAGTGCAGCAAGACCCGTCTCTAACTACGCTACTGCACATGGACACAACACACAACTGTGTGAAGCAGAAGTACCCTGTTTCTGTATTGGGCTTTTCAGATCGCAGCGGAGCCTTCTTGCCAATTGTGTAGTGGTGCATATCTCAAAGGCGCAACGAGGATATTGTTTGGTACCTTTCCTGTTTAAAAAGAGTCATGTTGAAGGAATTTGGGGTGCCATTCTCGCCTGACTTTGTCATGATGGACGCAGACAAAGCCCAACAAAACTGCACTGCAGAGTTACACGGAACCACCATTTTGATGTGTTGGTTCCACGTAACACAGAATGTGTTTAAACATGCACATGACGCAAAGCTGGATTTGATTTCGGTAAATATGTTTTTTAGGAATCTATACGATTTGCACTTTTCATGCGATGAACAACAGTATCTTCGAAAGCGAGAATTTGTTCTGAGGTCATGGCGCGGCGTCGGTGAGCTAAGGCCTCGTTTTCGGCGTGTATCAAACCACATTATTTCTCAATGGATTACGGGGGCTCGCTTTTCGCGTTGGCAAGTTTACCACACACCTACAGGGTATGCTACGACCAACAACCCGTCGGAGCAAAATCACAAAACTTTAAACTTGTAAATGTATCATCAAATATGACTTCTGTCGGTAGAGCAATTGTGTCGAAAAGGTTGCTTGCTGCGTATCGAAGGACCGACAAAAAATAGGTGTGGGATGCAGAAGTGGTACACCGTGTACAAGATTCGGTGCTCGTGCGTGTGGCTCCGAAGCCCGCTGGTCCTTCCGAGGACAGTACATTTTGAGGACTCTGTACTACCTAAGTCAGCATGCACGTACGAATCCAAACCTACGCTAGGTTAATGTGGGAGAACATGCTGACCGGTGGATGGATCGTAGATGCAACCGGTCGCACATGCATGTGCCGACTCAGTTTGCTGGGCTCCCTTGCCCTGGAATTCCCATGCCGTCACAGAGATTCGAACGCCCAGCTCACCAGCAAAGATCGGTGCGGAGACCGGCTGGGGGTGGTGAGGATGCAGCTGGTGTCGCAGCGGAACCGGAAGCAGGTTTCTCAGTTTATGGTCCAGCGACGTTGGCTGATAGCGAGGACAACACTGATACCAGAGCCGATGCGCCGCGCAATGCGAGTGCTGATCCGATAAGTGACGTTGTGGGTGTAGTTTTTGCTGCGGCCAACCAACTCGAAGAAGCTTTCCTTCATTTGCCGCGTTTGGAGACTCCAGTCACTAATACTCTGCGTAGGTCCTGGCCCCCACGTTTAGAGCACGTGAGGCAAGAGCTCAAAACAAGCGTAGACGCAGGTGAAGTATCGGTCTTATGTTTCTAAAGAACAGGCCCCGCTCCGATCATTATGAGCCGATCATACTCTATTGCTCGCTACGTAACAGCTGCCAACCATTTTTCTCTTTACATCCATACCTGCACTTGCACTGCAAGTTGCAGCTCTTGTTCGTTGCCACATTTAGTTTTTTGCGCCAGCAGGCCAAGAAGTACCTGAATACGTGTGAGGCCGCATCTTCCAGATCCGGCCGTATCCAAGGACATTGCCAACGACTTTATCGTGCACTCGTACGGTATCTTCCAATCGTCCAAGGATCTGCAGGGCATGGAGCCGCTCGAGATCATTGACATGCACTCCCAGTCCGTCAAGAGCCAGGAGAAGGAGCCCGAGCGTCTGGAAGTCTGGAGGCCGAGGCACGTCAGAAGAATGTCAAGACTATCGATTCCGACCTGCTGAGTCTCAAGAAGGAGATTAACGCCCGTACGCGCTCTATCGCTCAGTGCCGCTCGCGTCTCCACGCTCTCGACGAGGGGTACGAGAAGGAGTGTGGTGTAGACTCAGCGCACCAACATCACCAAGTCGCGTCTGGATGAGCACGACGCCCGCATCACGCGCGGCAAGAAGCGCACAGACGTCTTTAGCGACCAGTTTTCCCGCCATACCAAGTCGCAGACCATGCTTCTGTTCAAGCGCGCTGCTCTTACGGAGGACCGCGATTCCGACTGCAAGCTGTTCGATGAGCACCGTGAGGACTGCAAGAATACGCTGGACGAGGCCCGCAACGCTCTGGTCATCACGCCTGAGTACGTGTCCCGTCTCGAGGCCGACATGAAGGTCCGTGCCGCCGAGTTGCATGCCGTCAAGGACAGCAACAGGCGCAACCCGCAGGAGGGTGGCGACGCCGAGGTGTACGAGCGCGACGAGTTCATGAACGACGCTTGTCGTCGCCACGCCCAGTTCCAGAAGGAGCTGGACGACCAGGAAGAGGTGAAGAATGCCGCCCAGGAGGAGAATATGATCTCCGAGTTTGACAAGCTCATTGATACAGAGACTGCCATACTGGCCGACGAGGAGTCCAAGCGCGAGGAGAAGAAGTGTCTCATCACGGAGCTCATTAACAACGCCGGCAACTGAGTGTTGGACTCGCGGCACGGCCACCCGAACCGCAAGAAGGTGGAGGCCAACCGTCTGGTCAAGCAAGTTGTGAGGATGGCCATCAGCCCGCGAACGTCGCTGTTGGCAGGGAGAGCAGATCCTGCTGCAACGAGCGCCGTGCGGAAGTCGTGCAGTATGATATATTCGCGCTCTTTCTCCTGTTGTAGCTGGTTTGCTCTGGCGTCTGATCCGTGTCTTAGCATGTCGAGAAGACGTCGAGTAGTATCGGGAGCTCCCTTAAGCAGAGTCAGCAGTCTCCATAACGCTGAGCGTTGGTGCACACTGGCGCCGATTCTTTCATCGTGAATGGCACCAGGCTCGGTAGCTTCTCCGTGGCGCTTGGTCGGGTCGTTGAGCTCGTTTGTGAATGTGCTGGGTTGACCAAAGGCGTTTCTCCCTCCGAGACAGTCGCGGCAAAGTTCAAGCCACGGATTCACTGCGTACGAGTACCTGGTGACAGTCGTGCTCTGTACTAGATCCAGTTTCATTTGGTCGATGCTGTCAGTCTGCGCCTTCGTCAAATGCTGAATATTTGGGTCCACTTGACGAGCCAGAGAACCATTGCGTCCTCGAGGAATCCGCTCCTTGACCAGCGCATAAGTGTTCACCGGTAGGTTCGAAGTCGCTATCGTCGTGAGTGCTACTTCGTGGCAATCGAGTTGTTGCTCCTCTCGTTCGCGTGCACGCTGCTCACTGTGTAGCCCCTAGGCAGTCTCAGCTAAGTACTGGTCATGAAGAGAGCTTCGAGGTCCAGATCTAGTCGGCGTACCGGTGGCTCGCTTGGAGTGTAGTTTCGAACGGAGGTGGCGTGATCTTGCTGGCATGACTGTTTAAAGTGATCTTTGCAGATGTGTCATACTGGAGGACACGCTCGTATGTCGGCTCGATCCGAGACTCCTTTTGGTCTGGACATCCACAAAGAGCAGCAGGTTAGAAACGCACAGCTGAGAGATTGGGAGCGATACGAAAACTACTTTCCTGGTGCGAGGTAAGGTGCTGGTACCTTTCGACGGTCGTGGTCGGTCTTGTCACGGAGAGCTTCTTCCTCGACCCAGTTGCCCACTAGAGCAGCCTTATTGTTCCTCACGTTGTATGTCGTTGGTAGGGACATGGCTGTGGCGATCGATCGGACTGCACACAGCAACTACTATGATCTCCACGACGTGCCAGCTAATTAGAGCAAAAGTGTCGTTAAAGAAAACGGGTTCTCTTTAAAATAACCTGTAAAATCTGCTCGTCACTGTCATTGTTTTTAATCTACAATTTTAGTTTGATCGCTCTTCGAACTCTATCATGTCCACTGCAAACGTGACACGAAAATGGCGGCTTTCGGATCCCCATGCGGAGCTGCCCATCAAGAATCACAAGTATGTGAAAAACTGCACCGAGCTGTACATGGCAAATAAGCGCATCGACAAAATTGCGAACTTCGATGCTTTCGTCAACCTCGATGTGCTCTGGATCAATGACAACCAGGTACGTCATCTGTGCAGTAGTTTTTCCATTAAGATTCTTTCTTTGACGACCTGCCAGATTCAGGAACATGACGGACTGAACGGTTGCTTCCGTCTCAAGCAGATCTACGCTCACAACAACTGCATCCGTTACGTCAAAAGTTGGCATTGTAGACCTGCTCGCCTCGATAAACAAGTCTACTTCTGGTCCTTTAAACAGCTCGCTTGAAGGTTCACCGCAACTACTACGTCCGCAAGGCGTGTGCCGAGTTCGTTAAGCGCTTCAAGGTGGACCAGGAGATAAGGAGGTGCGGGACGTATTCGACTGGCTCAAGGTTGTCATTGAACGCGACATTACGCGCATGGAGAAGTGGCTCGACTCAAGCCGCAAGGAGCGTAAGGAAATCGAGAACCTCAAGGTCAAGGGTAAGGAGATCAACTGGGACGAAGACACGCTGGAGCGTATTCCTGCACTCAAGGAGATTCAAAAGAAGATAGATCGTCAGAACGACCCGTCTTCCAACCACTAGGGCGGCAACAATGAGGCTAAGTTGGCTGACGCTGTAAGCCCGTCGGAGCAGTAATGTAGTGGGCCGCGCCATTACATAAGTAGGTAGATTTATATTACAAAAGTAGGTGCAGCAGCACACGGCTAGCGTGTGCTGAACTGCCGTCATCCTATTGGTTGATATATGGGGAGCCAGACCCATTATCAGCCAATAAGGGGTTGACGTGTATTTGAGTGGTCAGGGCAAGCTGCCCTGGACCTAAATAAAAACAGAGTTGATTTTCCTTCAGACTAAGCACTTGGCTTCACTATCGCGGAACTTGCACGCTTCCTCATTATTACGTGTAAGCTAGTAACGGACACTCTAGGCCCGTTACAAGTAAGTTCAAGAACATCTCGGAGATCGACTCCAGACTACTCGAGGACATCAGTGGGACTGTCCACTGGGCTGTGAGCGAGGAGGACATGGTGAATGCCACGCCGGTGGAGGGAGTAAAGGCTGAAAAGGGGGAGGGGTCTGCAGCCTCGACCGAGGAGTGTTATAATAGCTCCAATATTCCGTTCAACACATCGATCTCCTCACTTACTTTATTCAAACCATCCTATTCTTTCGCATTTTTGTATAGTATAATCCAGGTCGTGGTCGTCCCCTTTGTCGCTCGTTTGGTTTGCAGTACATCGGGCAAATTGTAGTCTTGATACGTTTCGGTGGGGTTATTATAGCGTATGATTGGATCTGCAGTAAGACCTAAGTCGTTGACGACAAAGAAAGACGGACCATGTTGGCCACAACCTCCACTCCGTCCCTCATCTTGTAGTCATTGTCGGCTGCAACGACGACCGTGATGCAGCCAAGAGCAGCTTCATCCAATTATTTCGGATGAAGCTATTCGAACCGAATTGCCACCTATAGTTGAACCTTTAAAACCAGTGCGGCCACACGTGGACAATGCTTTCATACAATACATTAACATTAAATGCGTAAATGCTATTCTTCAGCAGTTGAAGATAGCGACGTTCTTTCCGCTCTAAGTCACAACTACACATATTGCGATCGTACAGTAAGTGCCATTACCAGTGTAGTTGCGATCGTATGACACTGAACATTCTCAGTGAACGTAGTGTTTATATCGTTTGGGTTGGTGTGAAGTTCCTTCACATCTTGCATGTGTTCGTCCCTAAAGCGATACACTATCATACAGATGGTGCGTGCAATCCGCCCCTATTTTGATGCTACGTACGGCCGCACTTTGTTGTGCATTTGCTAGTTCTTTTTGCAGTTAGGTGGCAGACACGGTAGAACCTCGTGATGATTCTCGAACAAAGCACAAAATCTAGCAAATGTTAAAATACTGACACATGAAGCCATCAGGTTTTGTATCTGTACGTCGCTGGTTGGACCCGCTCGGCATTCTACCGGCCCTGGGCTGGTAGCCCTCATCGAAAAAATCTAACTTCTTTTGAGCTGTCTTCAGGTCCTTAAAGGATTCTGATGTGATCTTCTTAAAACCTTGAAAACGGAAATTTTCGGCGGAATGCGTACCAGTGCCGAACTTGATGCTACGCTCATGACCTCCAATAGCTAATCCAGAATCCAGACGTATTCACTCGCAAATATTTTGCGAATATGGCCAAATCCCCGACAGCAGCAGGCTTTGTATTTACGAAGAACTTATGTTCAATTGACCCCAGTTCGCCAGCTTGAACTAAACCAAACAAAATCTTGATCGCGAAGTTGTTCGCATAGACTGTCAGTTTCATGTAGCCATTCGGAGCCATAATCTTGGTAATAAAGTGGTACAACATGCGGATCACTTCATCCGCTCCTTTTTCAGCGACAGACTTGACGAACAGGTAGCTGTACTGAATGCCCTTGTTAGCGTAGTAGATCCAAACAAATAGATACTGAACAGCGATATAAACTACCTCTGAGACGGAGTCGACAAAACACTCGGCAGCTTCAGCTTTTTGCTGTAGCCCATGATCATCACAGCGTGATCATCCGAAGCGGCTGACAGATCTCGCTGGTACTTCTTACTACAGAAACGCTCACAGTAAATCGAAATGATGTTAGCGTACTCAGCAGAAGCCAGCCGTTAAGCAAAATGCTTCTTGTATTCTTAATACACATACCTCCTCTTTCCGGCTGCGCTTGTTTGAGCATCGAGTTGTTCTGTGAGCTTCGCGGTAATTCGCCTTCATCTTCCAGTACAGGATCGCACCGAAGTCGCACACGTTGCTGCGTTGGGCTCGGATGTGAATTGTGTGTGTATGTGTATGTGTCTGTGTGTGTGGAGGGAGGGGGGCAAGACGGCTTCCTGAACGCTGAGTACTTAGGCTCACGAACGTCGATGCTATCCTCGAGAGCGTACTTTTGCATTTCGCCACGAAGTAGATCCCACGTAAAGTGACTCGGTAGCATTATGTAGTTATCTGAAGAGCCGTGTTTGCGCACAACGCCGTCGACTGGCTTTTAAATGCGCATGCGAACAGGCACCACGCCACCCGCGGAAGCGGCAAACGATCGAAACCATTGTACCAGCTAGCCATTTTCGATCTTGTTTTCGCTCAGATTTAAGTGACCTCCATGTTGCTTTACCGGGAAATCTCCACGTTGAATCTGCTGACCATATCGGGTGACCGTCGCCATTGAGACATCATACAGAGCACACCAAGATGCACGGCAAACATGCCCAACGAGAGGTAGTTACTACGAAAACCTTAGCCGCGAGCCAGTCCCGCGACGACGTACAGTAGTGTCTGTCTTCATGAGCAGCGCCAGGTAGTGCGAATGCTCGGTTTGCGCTCGAGAGGAGTAATCTATACCACGGAGCAGACGCACTCATGTACATTTAGGGCCTTCCCCTCTACACGGCGTTTTTCGCAAGTGTCAGTGTTGATTAAGGCCGTAACGCTCGCGCACGTCCTTAGCAATCGCAATGATTCTTCCTGCCTTCCATGCGTTCATCGTCGACGACTGCGTGCTGGCAATGCAGAGCCATTTTGGCAACCAAATTCAGGGTCATACACCCGATGCAGAGGAATGCATCAGCATCCCCATCAGCTTCTTGCTGATGGTGGACAAGCTGAGCCGCACACCGACGTCGACGTACAGCATCTCGACCAGTGTACCCGTGCAGCTATCGCTCAGATACTTCTCTAAGGCATCCTACATCTCGATCGCGCGCTATAAGCAGACAGAAAGTATCACCCCGTGCAGAGGCTCGACCAGCTCTGTCGCGATGTGTCCCGTACCCGGGAACGAAGGGGTCATTGCAGGAGCTATACGCCCCGACGGGATGACCCGAGGCCCTGTGGCTACTCCTCGCCCGGCCGTCCCGTCAGGATGGCCCCCCCTTGAGCTCGATGCCTCGCGTGCCCCTGACCGAGCCCGTTAGAATGGTTCTATAAGGTGGTCCAAGAACGCTGATTCTCAGGCGTCGTGGGACCAAAGCACCTAGCGTCATCAAGTCCCTTCCCAGAACTCCATGTTGTCCCACGAGGGCGGACGTCAGGTGTAGTGAACTCTTCTTTCTAGTATAAGAGAAGCGGTGTAGTGTATGTAAGGAAGAAAATGTGTTAGACCTCTCTTCCAGCTAGCTCTCAGTATTATATATATCTCCTTCTACTCAAGAGGAAGCTAAGTCAATAAACAAGCTTATATTCTTTTAAGTGTTCCTATCTACCGTTCTCGCCGTTGAACAAGACTGTACTCCCTGAACAGCCGCGGACTACACGACCCTTGAAGGAGCAGGTATACGACAGATGATTCGGCGTGCGGTCAACTCGGGGATGCCGTTGTGCTTCGCTACCACCAGCGAGTCTCCCCATCGCGGATACCGTCGAGAACGCGGGTTCTAGCGGTGAAGAGGGAGTGATTGACATCAGGCACGGGGTTGTGGCGTTTTTGAGATAATGTGATGCGCGAAAAGAAGAATGAAGGAATTGGTCACCAACTTGCTCTGCGCAAGATCCGCTTTGAACTGCAATACCATCGTTTACGAAACCGATCTCGTACGTAACACAATTAAAGCTTTCTTCAGAAACTTTTATGCTACACTTCACCACATTGCTCTGCAGCACCTCCAACTTGAATAGGCAATGATGTAGTCTCTGTGGGGCCACTTCAACTGGCATTAACTACGAAAATTCAAATCAGACCACAGTAGATAGAGTTCAGTCTCGGGCTATTGATACCGTATAATTCTTTTTCTTAATATAAAGTTGAAAGACCCCAAAAGCTTCCACGTTATGTAGTCAATCTGAAACGAAGTAAAGGACTTCAAAGTATTTTGAATAGCAGTAGTACACTTTATTTCAAAGAGCAAATTGCAAACCGATCCACTCCTTATAATATTTTTTAACGCATAATAAGGGGATATCTCTAACCAACCAGACGTGGTTCAACCACTGGTTGATCGGGCAGATGCTGTATAAAACCGTACCGAAAACTTTACAGCAACGGTCTGCGCTCGCTGCTGGATTCACGGCGGTTGTTATAGGCGCGGATAGCAACAACAGCGGCACCAACCACCACGACTGCCGCGATCACAATGACCACAATAGACCAGGTCGACAGATCTTCGCTGCCGGATATTTCGATAGGGGCGCTCACCGCTGCAACCTCCGAGGTCGCCGGAATGCACTTCGTCTTGGCCAGTGTGCTGAACCACTTGGCAGCCGGACGTGGGATGCGCTCGAGCTCCGAGGGCTTCGCCGAGACGTAGTTCGTGGAACCAGTCTGGGACGTGAAGTTGACGTAGTACAGTCCGAAGCGTGGCTCAAAGGAGCCCCATTCGTAGTTATCCAGATAGGACCAGGCCGTGTAGCCAATGACTTTGATATTTTCCTCGGTCACAGCTTTGTAAACCTGTTCCATATAATTCGTGTAGTACCACATCTGGTCTTCAGCACCATCAGCCTCAGCGTTGCCGCACCAACCGTTCTCTGTCAGCAAGACATCAGCCGACGGATCGTGTGCAGCGACCCACTTAATCAAAGCCAGATATCCAGGCGGGTACGCCGTGAACCAAGCGCAGTTGCGATTGCCGTTGCGGTCCTTGCTGGAAGAACGCGAGCCTTCGGGAGCGCGTGTGTCGTCAACACCCTTGTCCTTCTCCCAGCCAAGAGTGAGCTGATCACAGTCACGTTTGGACGTCGGCGAGTCGCAGTCTGTCACGGACTTGGAAGCATAGTGATTGATCATAAACAGATCGTACGATCCCTTGAGGGTCTCTGATTCTTGCGCAGTAAAACGAGGAAGACGGTCGCCGACCACCTCGCGCATGACGGCCGGGTAATCACCAGCTGCAGGAACCAACCGTAGTCGAACTGCAGCGCGCGCTCAGCGGCAGCAACGTCCTTGGGATTGGAGGCGTCAAGCGGGAACATCATGTGTGCCATCAGCACGATACCGATGCGAGCCGTAGGTCGCACAATACCGTTGTTACGAAATTCACGGAACTTTTGCACCGCTAGAGCATGGGCACGCAGGAGATTATGAGTCACAACGTATGTGTTGGTATCGGATCCGGTGAAGCCGGGGGCGTGCACGCCGGTACCGTAGCCCTGCGTAACAAACGAGTACGGCTCGTTAAACGTCGTCCAGTAGTCGAGTTTCTGGCCGAACTCCTGGAACACGAGCGTAGCAAAGTCGACGTAGTGCCCAATTATGTCCGAACTGAGCCAGCCTGCCGGGGAGAGCTCCGTTTGCAGAGCCGACGGCAGGTCCCAGTGGTAGATAGTCAGGATCGGCTTGAGGTTGTTCTTAGCCATATCATCAATAAGGTCGTGGTAGAAGGCGATACCGGTCGGGTTGGGCACCATGCGGCGCTTCGCCGAGTTCCACGTCATGACACGCGACCAGGAGATCGAAAAGCGAAAAGACTGCAGACCGTCGTCGGCCATCATTTTGAGGTCGCTAGGATAGCGATGGTAAAAGTCGTCGGCCACGTTGGCGCAAGCTAGACCGGGTTTCTCTCGGCAGAAATCGTCCCAGATACTGGGTGTGCGACCTCCCTCCGTGTAGGCACCTTCCACCTGGTACGAGGCGGTGGCTGAGCCGAACATGAAGTCCTTGTGGAAGCAGCGCTCCTCGGCGGCTGCGGGGGCCAGCAGGACGGTGACAGCCGCAAGAGCACACGGCAGCAGACGCAGCATGCTCATTGTTAGTCAAGTTACTAGAAGATATATGTGTATAGGACCTGGAGAATTGGCGACTGGCAGTCGAGTGGACTCCACACACATCGACAATTTGCACTTCAAGTTGGAATATTACCAAAAGAGGGTCATTAAACTTGATTTCAGTAAACGTGGTATCTTGTATTTGAAAGTGTGGACCCCATAATCCACGCAACAATGTTGACACTCCACCATCAAGAGTTAGTGAGCGGTCTCATACTGACACGGAGTCAATTGACCTCTTATTAGAATTAAAGCGCTTTATTGAGATTGTATGTTAAGGTACAGACTCCGCCCAGAAGCTGAGAAGCAAATACATCTTATACCCTCGCAAACACGGTAATACTACTTTCAGCTTTTTCATACGTGGTACTTATTATTTGCAAGAATCAATAGCCTATGATTACTATATATCCTTTGGGAACTAAGATGGTGTATCTGTCCTCCTGCAAACAACAAGAGAGTGATCCGCTTGGCGACAGCCAATCAGATGCGAATTCCCTCGGATTTTGATTCAGACGCTCGTCATAACCCTTCAACATATTGGCTCGCTCCCTTTTGGCATCGGCCCCACACCTTCCGAGCCTCCTGGCACCTCTACTACGAGTCAGTAGTACTTCCCCCACGGCGAAATCCACCCCGCCGGACTGTTAAATTGTAACTTTGGATGGCCGCAAATCAGTCCATGGCTATTTAATTCTGGGATAGGAAAGCAACGTAGTGCTGATAGCCCAGCCCTCACAGGATTAGTTGCGGTGTCCGTCCGTCCGTCCACAGAGACCGGTAGAAAACCGGTACAGCGTGCATGAGTGGTTTGTTCCTGCGAGATGGATGCGGGGCGACTGAGCCTCAAATGATGGCTCCGGACGCTTTCGGCCGCTGCGTGGTTAACGCTCTCATTGCAGATTGCAGGTTGGGAGATGGAGACAGCTCCTCGACGACAGAGCCGGGCTGCTGAGACACCGATCGATCGGGACGCGCGCATACAAAAGGAGCGTCTGAAACGCGCGAAGAAGCGTGCGGAGGAGACCCCAGCCGCGCAGAAAACGCGCCTAGCAGAAGAACGTCAGAAGAGAGCAAGTAAACGCGCAGAGGAGACCCCTCTAGTGCGCACAGAACGTCTCGAGAAGGATCGAGCGAGAAGAGCGAGAGTGAGAGCTGGGCGCGGGCATGCAGCTCAAAAAAATACTTCTTGCAGAGAGGCGGGCTGGTGACAGGGCTCGTCGAAGTGGCCAGCGCCGTGAAACCGGGGCTGTTGTTAGCGTCGCTATGGAGGAGCTGGGAGCTGGAGCTTTGAGCTGTGGAAACTTTTCGGGCGAGGAAATTGCATTTCTGGGCTCGTCTCAGCGGTATATGAGTGATCCGCGACTTGCGCTTGCATATCGCCACTGCTTCGGTGTTGACCCGGCGGGGTTTGTGTTTGGCGACGAACAACTTCATGGCGGTAAACGGGACGTTACGCGCGAGCGTCTAATGAATATATTTGATGACTATCCTAAGCCTAATGATTTGACGGCGTGCCAGAATCTCGCGGGTGAAGGCGAGTCGGGGTCAACTGATATATGGGCTTGTGCCTCGTGTGAGCGAGTGTTACTACACAATAAGAACGGCGACAAGATTGTTTTTCTCTGCTTTGCTGGAAAAGCAGAATTTTGCGTTGGGTGGTGCGAGTCGTAGGAGTTTGTTTGCTGGTTGTTCCGAGGCTAGCGTGCGCAAATACCGTCAGGTTTTCTTTGCTGGCGACCAAGTATATTACTTGATACCGGAGTTAGTCCGCGATATAGAATCGATCCCTCTTTGTGAGTCGTGTCAAGAAGATCCAACGAAGAGTCCGTTTAGTGCTGCAAGCGGCCACGATTACGGCCGTGTTGGCGAACTACAGGAGCTGACCCAGATTGTACTGGACTATATTGCCCCAGTGCGAAGTTTTTGGATGGATAATTCCCTAACAGCAAAGCATTCTAGTGGTCATACTATCTGTTTTCCCTTGGACGGCCGTCCAAGGTTGCTGCTGTCTTGCCTCGACTTGAACCTGATTGTATGCCGCGCGTAACATTTGCTGGGCCCAAAGAAGATTGGCGGATTCAAAAGCAAAACTTCCGAGCCCTCTATTCCATCCCGGTCGATTCTGTCTATGAATGGCTCCGTGTGCTTGGTGAAATGAACGATGTTTTCCGGGAAGAGCAGATTCAGATCGATGACAGTGGACAACGCCGTCGCCAGCTGATGGACCTCGAGAACGCGATTGACGATAGTGTTCATGTGACTGACTCAGGTGATGCTAACGCAGTGTGCGACTTAGCAACGTCAGCGCGCTTTGGGTCCGATATACATGATTGTCGTGGTACGCAAGGGGATCATTTAAATGGGCAGAATGAGGTTATTCAACAATCGGCGGTGCTTCCCGCTCGTGCTGAGTCTGTTTCTGTTGCACACGGGATTGTCGACGCGTTGCTAGATGCAATGCCCCTGGAAACCCAGCCGAGCACGGACAATTCCTCTCTTCTCGTGCCGATCAAACGGGGTTGTTTGCCAATGGTGAAGTGGCACGAAAACGCTAAAATTCTTGCTGGTGTGTTTCCTGATCTTTTTTTAATGGGATCGGGTCCGCTTCCCTCCGGGCCAATGCCTCAGCGTTAGTTGACCACTTTGTGCACTACTGGGATGGATGATTCGAGAAATCAACACGATTTCTAGCACTACTTTTTTAATCAGATGCAGCGTCACGCCGCCGTGAGAAATGCCGCACGAGTTGGGGTAGTACGCTGAAATCCTCTGGCAAACTAGCAAGCACACAAGAGTTTAAGGAGGCTCTACAACTTGCGAAAGACCAGCCCGACAGTTCTCGTGCGATTAAGCTGAACGCGGTGCTCCTCAGATTACTGTCGTTGGTTGCAGGGACCGTCCTGTTTTCTCCGTAAGAGGAATCGGCGACCCGGCCAAAGCTTGGGGCGATGCGGTACAAGTATGGTGTCGGACAACATTGGGTGACGATTGCTCCGCCCGAGCATGACGACCTCTTATTACACCGGACTGCTCAGCTACGACACAAGTACGTTTTTACGACGAGTCTTCCTCGTTTACGCTGAATGCGGTTTTTCAGACTTGCCACGCGATCTACAAAAAAGTGCCCGTGCGCGTTTGAAGATTTCTAATGCGTACCCCGCGTTGGCGGCACAAGTTTTTGAGCGGAAAGTCCGCGTGTTCACTCAGGCGTTACTGCGGTGCGGCGATAGCTCGTCTACGAGGGTCAGCCGTAATAACTCGGAGCGCGAACAGGGCGTATATGGCCGTGTAGCCGGCTTTCATGCTGCCGTTGAGCCCAGGTTGACGGCCGATTACATCTTCATGCAATTGTTTACGGAGCAGCGGTAAGCCCTGCGCTGTTGACAAGTGCGGCGTCATGTCCTGCGTTGTGGCTATCCCTGAGGCGCTGATTGGACGCAGTATCATGCACTGCGATCTCGAAAGAAGCTTGTGCTTGGCGCGACGAATGGCTCCGCGATCATGATGGTAAGATGCCACGAGCGTTCGACATTCCCGCGCTTGACGTAGCTTCCGATTACGTTGGAGTTATAAATGCGCCGAACGACGAGTGCTATCAACAAATGTTCACACACACCCGCGAACATGCCGCAAAGGATTGCGTGGGAAGTTCGTGTGCCGGCTAGCCCGCCCCGCTGGTGTTCACGAATAAGAGGCTGAGCCGCTAGCTTTACAACTAGCTGCCGCGAGCCATTTAGGGAAGCGAAAGCGTGCTGAATTTGTCGTTGGTGATGTTATCGACGCGGCAGGATCTATTGATGCTCCAATCAACTACACCAATAAACGGGTGTTGCGCGAGCACACGAAAAGGGCAGTCGTTTGGGAGCAGCGTCGAGACGCAAAGGATGAATTGTTTGTAGAGACCAACCTCTCACTTGCGTGCTTTACCAATTCACATACAAACTCGACAAAATTTAATGGCATTGCTGCGAGTGATATGGTGGAAGAGTACCAGCACGCATACATGGCCAAGGAGGGTCTAAAGAGCTGAGCGACGGTGATGTTGACTGCAATACGTGATGTGGAAAAGTATTCTAGCACTGCAGACGACAGCGGTGCGTTTGAACGGCAAGCAAAGTACTTGGCAACTCGCACTGTAAATGCGCGTACTGGAGTAACTGAGTGGCCTCACCAGCTCGTCGCTTATGCTCGCGCAGGCTACCGCTCTTATTTTCGAGCGATACGTTTTGGAATATGTTTTCCCGGGAGCTTAGATGAGGTTGTTTCTGGTGTTGGGCTTGAAGAGGATACTAGGGTACCTAGTAATGAAGGCGAGGAAATACAAGAGGATGGCGATGTGTCCACGATTCAAGGGCGTTTAGAAAAACTGATCAGCGCTTCAATGGACGAGTGTCAGGTGGGAGCCACTCGCGGGGGTCATCACCAGAAAACAGGAGCTAAAATGTACTCAGTTGACAAGGAGGTGGTCTTCGTTTCACAGGCAGTATCGTATCGTCACCAGGGCGAGCCCTTTGCGGATTATTCGCCATTAGAATTTGAAATGATCGTAAATATTTTGCCGAGGAAGAAAATGGATACAGAGTTGAGCAGTACTGGACGTGGTCGGCCAAAAAGACAGGGCTTAGATCTCTCGCCTTCGCACTCGTTGAGCCCGGGATTCCAATGATTTATCCGAGCCAAATCAGAACACCGATGCTTGGTGGAGCCCCGCTACCCTCGTTAAAAAAAGGATGGTCGTTCCCCTGATTCTTTGGGGAAATACTTGGTGTGCTTGAAGACTGAGTGGGCGCTAGGCAACGGTAGGCCGAGGTATGCGCTAAATGGCGACGGCGTGTTGAGCCTCTGCGCAAATTGGAACCGAATTGGTGCTAGTTTTGTTGACCGGATGCGATACTGTGACGTGGAACATATTTTGCAAAAGGGCTATAGAAATCCGCGCAACGAAAAGGCGTGCTCAGCGTGGAGAAGTCGTAATGCAG